GGTGGGGCTTTTTGGGTGGGGGGGTGGTTGGTTTCCTTGTTGTTTGTTCCCCCGGTCGGGGGGGGGGTCCTTGGGTGGTTTTGGGTGGGGTTTTTGGGTTGTGGTGGGTTTTTGCCGGTGTTGGGCGGTGGGTTCTTTGTTTTTCTGGCGGGGGCGGGGGGGGGGGGTTTGGGTCGTTTTTTTTTTTTGCCGGGGGGGGGGGCCCCCGGGTTGTGGTTGTTTGTTTTTTTCGGGGGGGTTGGGGTTTTTTCGCCCCCGGTTGGGGGGGGGGGTTGGGGCTTTTTCGCTGGGGTGTGTGGGGGGGGGGCGGTGGCGGCTGTTTTGTTGGTTTCCCCGGGTTGCTTCCTTTTTTTCTTTCATTTTTTTTTTTTTTCCTGTGCGAGCCGCCCCCCCCCCCTTCCCCCCCCCCCCCTTCCAGGACGACCACATCAACAGCAGCGCTCGCCACCAGCCGGGAATGAGAAGGAGGATGGCACTGGCAGAAGGGGGGGTGAAGATACCGTCAGTGGCGACGTCGTCAGCACTGGTGGTGCTGGTGCTGGTGCTGGTGGTCGAACGGTGACCGTGATACGAGCGCGGGACCCGAAGGAGCTCGTTGATGTCATCCTCGCCGACCTGTGCTCGTCGTGCGACGGCGGTGGTGCCTCGTCGTAGCCGCGTGGCGTGTGGTTGGGTTTGATCAACCAATCAGTCTCACGAAAATAGGTGGCGGGAGATAGAGGAATCTCAGGACGTACTACTACCGTAGGAACGGAGGTGGCGTGTATTTTTTTCCTTTTTTTTTTCTCCCATCATTGGACTCTGTCGTCTGCCCCTCTGGCCCTATCCTCGACTTCTACTAGCTAGACGACCCAACCGGGGTCACACTCGAGGGGGGGGTTGGACCCCCTCCTGCGGTTCCTGCCTGAGATATTTTGCACCGGACTGATTCTTGCGTGGTTTCCGAGAGGAGAGGGTTTTTGTAGGCACCAGGAGAAGCAAGGCGCCCATTGTCGGGCGGCCGGGCGGGCATGGTGTTCGCCTCTTGCACATGGAAACCCAGGTGCGCTTGACAGTAGATTTTTCCCATCTACGGTCCTTTACGCCCTCTGATTGGTCGAGCGTTGGTTCGGGTGGTCGATTCCTCTGGAGCGCCCTTTCCCCATTCCGCATTCCGACAACGCGGCGCAGCCGCGTTTTAACACAGTTTGCGGCCGCTAGGCCGTGCGTTGGCCGTGGGTGAGGGTTAGGGTTAGGGTTAGGGTTGCGTTGGGTTGGCCACGGTGTGTGACACATCCCATGTGAGGAACCTATGTAGGTTCACCGTCCGGTTACTGTAGACCGTACATAGACCTCGCGTTTTAAGGGACAATGGTCCATGTTAAATGTTAGACTGCCAGGTACGGGTGCGAGATACTTTTGATTTGAAAATTACAGGTGCCACTCTTGGACAAGAAAAGCCTTTGAGATAGAAATGGTCCATTACCAGATGCGTTTCCTCCGCTCAAGGTAGTAGTACATGTACGCTGCGGGTTATGCGGGAATTTGAATAGAGCCAGGACCCCGCGAAAAACGCTCAAAACCCCCCAGGCCTTCTGCACCGTATTTCTTGGTTTACCCCCCCGAGATGAGCTTTAACGTGCAACTTCTCGGCAGACTCGCGATGCGACACCCGGGAGCCCTTCCACTCAGAGCGTGTCGTATTGCAAACCTTAACCTTGCTGGACCGCAGATACAATCCGCGTTGCCCCCCCCGATCGTTCAAAAGGGGGCTAGACGCATGGACCACCTGCTTGAGATCGCATGCACGATTTATTGCCGTCCTTGCTGCGCGGTCACTATGAATTGTACCGCTACCCTTGTGCTCAACGGCAGTTACAGCGCAAACGGCCCGCGCACCATGTATGTAGTGGTCCTATGCAGCGAAACACTCCCAGCTGAGAAACGAAGATTTTAAAATGAAACAGCTATAGATCAGAGTTGCCTTTCGACAACAGTATACGATGCATCATCAAAATTGCTCTCTGATTCGCCATCGTTCAACATTGTGTGTCGTCGTCACCACTAAACAACACGCTCAGACAAGAGACACCAGTACAACAAACGAAAATCCCGATCGTGGCGAAACTGCTATTTAGTAGCCGCGAAGGAGCGCTTCGAATCCCGAATCTACTTTCAGGCATGCTTCCGCTTCTGTAGACGCCTCCTTGCCAAAGAAACGAACTACGCGGCAGAGGCAGATTTTAAATGAACCCTCCCAATAAAACATTCCCCCCCAAAATGTCGCCCAAGACAAAGTCAGCAGAAGGGATCCAACTCTTGGTGTTGATATCCTGCTGGCTTTTACCGAGGGCAATATTAATATTTTTTCTCCATCTTCAGAGCGGCCGTATTTCGTCGCAGCTACGTTCGCTAGCCGTGGCCAACACAGACGACAAACGAGCCACCTCTCCAACAATCATCTTCAAACCAAGATATTCGTGGAGATTTTCAATCAAGGGCGACAACAGCCTTACCCGACCATGCGCCGCGCCACTCCGACGCAAAATTCGCCACGAATAAAATGTCGCTATAAACCTAACATTCGAATAACCTTGCTACCCGCCACAGCCACGTCACAAGCACCAGCATCACCCCGCTACGCCCTAAATCCCCAAGACATTCGTGAACGTCTCCAGGACGCTGATCACGCACCCGAGCACCCCCATGGCCACCCCGACCGCCACAATCCCCGCGTTCAGCGACATCTCCCGCTTCTGGCCGGCGGCGGCGGCGGCGGCGACCGCCTTGTCCTTAAACTTCCTCATGAGCGGCTTCAGGAACATGAGCGCCGGGAAGACGTAGACGATCCCGGAGCCGATGAGCGCGCCGCCGAAGGAGTTCACGAACCCCAGGTCGGTGAGCTTGAGCGACGCCGCCGTGACCCCGGCCAGGAGACCCACCGTCCACCTCGTTCGATTCCGCGTCTCCCCCGGCTTCGCGCCGCTCATCTCGCGGATGCCGTCGCGGAGGCCCACGAAGCAGAGCGGGTAGGAGAAGACCAGGCTGGAGGCCACGGCCACGCGCGCCACGGTAGCCAGGCGGTCCGTCGTGGCGTAGTTGTTGAGGATGTAACCGCTCGACGCCCCGCCGAACGTCATGAACCCGAAGGCGGTCACCTGTCGAGGGGGATGAGGGGATTGGGGGGGGGGGTACTCATAGTCGTGCACTCATAGTCGTGCATGCCGTAGTCGTTAGACCATTGACCTCGATGAGGGGGTCGGGGAGCGAAGAAAAAACAAATCAGCGAGGCTTCGCAGAGGATTGTTATATTATAATCAAGTGAAACGTGTTGGATAAATCATGCGATCGGGAAAGTCGGGTTTAGGGATAGGATCTGCGTAGCCCCCTCTCTGTTATATTTCCTAATAAATTTATAAATATAATTAATTTCTCGCGAAGGCGGTCCGTAAGAATACAGCCATAAAAAAAAAAAAAAGTACACGCACATGTCGAAACATGAACACCAACAAGCACGAAATATTGAATTTTACGGGGATGGGCCTTGGTAGGCCTACAACAACCGACGCTTGAACGGAGGAGGATTCGCATTGTTCCGAGAGTTTTTTTTTTTGCGATTCGCCTGGTTGAACACCGGTCATCGCTTTTCCAAATATGTATTCCTTCCACCGACCTCGCATGGTCCGTACGACAACAGTTCCGCAATCGTACGTGGTACATGCTTCCATGATATGTCGAGGACCAGCGCGTCTACCTCAAGCTCCCCATACAGGTACTGGCTATTGCAGCAAAACAAACGCGTACCGCCGTCATGGTGGCCACGCTCGCAAGGAACGAGATCGAGACCATCTTGCTGTACCGCGGGACCGTGTTGTCCTTAAGCTCGCGGTAGAAGAGCGGCGCGTTAAAGTGCGCCTCGTACGCCGTGGACAGCATCGAGACGAGCACCTGTGGTTGGCGGTCAAGCGGGCGGGGGGGGGGGGGGGGGGGGGGGGGGTCCCCAAAACCGGGGCGGCCAAAACCATTTTTAGAGTGGGGCCCCCGCCCCCAAAAAACCGGGGAAGGAAGACCGCGGGTTTGTAGGGGGCCGGGGTTTT